TCATAACTGTTGCTAAATATGCAATATTTATCTCTTGGTTAAAATGGAAAGATGATTATAGAAAGAAAGATGATGTATTCCTAATTTTCATGAATTTGTGTCAAACTTATATTTGATTTTCAGTTAAATTATCAGTATTTTCAAGTATGATATGTATATGATGTTCACTAGCAAGTATCTATACTCAGACAATTTCTGGAAAAATGAAACACATTTGGTTATACAATGATTATAACTGTTGTTAAATACGTATACTTATATTCACATTGTATGATCATGTATCTTATGTATATGGACTTAAGAGCTTTGAAGAATAAAATCGTTCAAAAAAAAAAAAAAAAAAAAAACAAATAGGGATCAACATTGACATTGAAAGAAAGAATTGAAGCACCTCCAAAGTCTTAATCAAATATCTTATGATCTGGCTGATGTTGGGACATTCATTGTTTATAGCAATATTTGTATAAACGATAAACATTCCATTACCATTTACCTCTGTCAGTCTATGTTCCTTAAAAAACAAATAGCAAAAGTTAGAAATTTATGCCATGTTGAAACATGACCATCATACATTTTTCTATTCCAGATTTTTGGACTGAGGTGATAGGAAAAGTACCAACATCCAACAGCCTACAACAGACTAAAGCGCATTACGATAGCAGTTACATACAAGTAGATGGTGTGTTAGAGTGATTACCGAGTGTTAATTGATAGTCATCATCCTGAAACAGCGGTCTACCGAACCCTGACATGATGACATTGTCGTCTTGTAACGCAGGTGATCTCCAAATTCTTTGGAGCTTCTCCTGCTCTTCTTGTGACAGACTCGAGCAAGCTTTGGTGAGATGAAAATGAAAGTGCAGAGACAAGAGAGAGAAAGTAGGAGGTGAAGAAAGAAGTTAAGTATGACATGGAAAATGTGTTGTGAAAGTAGTTTGAAAAGGTGGAGCAATAGAAATAGCAAGCCATGAACACTAATATTTGAAGAGATAGATTGGTGATATATTATGATCTTTATGAAGGCTCTATGTGAAGATATGTCTAGCTGCAATTTACATGATGATTTGTGATGCTTGGACTGAATTATCAACTATGATCCACTGTTCACGAAGGCACGTGTGTTATCTGTGTGACGTCACGGAAGCAGTGGATTGCTCATTCCTTGACAAAGACTGGAGTTGTACAGTCAAAAATTTGGGTGAGTTCAATTTTTTGTGTTGGTATTAACAGTTTTGAACTTTCAAAATAACACTTAATTATCCTTTGGTGCTTGAGGACCATAGTGATACCACATACACCTTGGGACTGGTCATTAACCCTTAAATCATTTTGTGCTTAATTACCGTTGACGACGAAGGTTCCCTGTGACGTGGATCCGTCTATCTGGCAGGACCAAGTCCCAGCATCCTCCATCTGCGCCCGGTTAATGACCAGGACGTAGTTATTCCCCCGCTGCTGCAGGTGGATCCGGCTCGACTCGTAAACCTCCTTCCCATCCTTAAACCACCTGCAATGCAAAGTGCCAAGTATGAGACAGATACAGAGAGAAGTCCTGTATCTTTATACATGGTATAACTACGCTTTTGTTTAACACTACTGGTCCAGCTTCTGTATCTAGATAACTGTATCTGTATAGCCGGTATAACCGCCCTTTGGCGTAACACACCAGCTTCTGTATCTGTATAGCCGGTATAACTGCCCTTCAAAGTAACACACCAGCTTCTGTATCTGTATAGCCGGTATAACTGCCCTTCAAAGTAACACACCAGCTTCTGTATCTGTATAGCCGGTATAACTGCCCTTCGTTGTAACACACCAGCTTCTGTATCTGTATAGCCAGTATAACCGCCCTTCATTGTAACACACCAGCTTCGCAGGTATGCGATGCATACTTGATAAAGCCCCTTGATGTCCAAAAGAAAACAGACTGGGAGGAAATTATGACAGGACTCACTTGATCTTGTCGAGTTTGTTGTCCTTGTTGAGGCCGAGGACGAACTCTGCCTTCTCACCTTCGATGACCTCCGGAACCTGCAGCTCGCTGGTGATTATGGCTGGTTTTTCTGTTGGCATGGTAACAGGGTCATAGGTCATATTACATAGGGGTAGAGAAAGCAATGGGGAAGTATCAATAACAAAGAAAACATTGCGTAAAACTGCCACTTTTATCCACACTTTGAGTAGAAAGTGTTTGGTGGCTTTCTCAAACCAGTTCATATATTCTACATGACTGTAATAATATATAGAATCAGTATGTCTCTAATAAAATAGAATGATTTTCCCATAAAAATCTGTATCTTTTCATTAAAATTCTAATGAATAATTAGGCACCCCTGATGGAATATGACAGACTGACTCTTTCTTACAAACACAGAAGAAACCGCTGTTAGCCAACCCTTTGAAATAAAAGTATTCAACTTTTTCAAACCAGTTAGTATACTCTACATAGAATATGGATGATGCACTTGATATAAAATCATGTAATAGAATGATTACACATAAAACTTCCTATGTTTTTATCAAAATATGTAAGCCTTGAGTGAGGTAAGAAGAGGTTTGTTTGTTTGTTTGTTTGTGAGTTATGTGATCTTACCATCTACAGTAGCCTTAGCTGAAGTACAAGAGTCTCCGTCCATACAGGTGAAGTAAGAAGAGGGTTCTATGTTTGTTTGTTTGTTTGTTTGTTTATTCGTGAGTTATGTGATCTTACCATTGTTTACTTGTTTGTATTTGTTTGTTTATTGTAAAATCTTACCGTCCACAGTAGCCTTTGCTGAAGTAGAAGAGTCTCCTGCCATACAGGTAAACTCAGCGTTATCTGTCAGGTCCACAGGGTCGATCAGCAGGTGACACTTGTTCCCATCACGCTGCATCTTGTACTTCCCACCAAGGGTGATCTCCTTACCATTCTTAAACCACTGAGAACATGGCAGTCAACAAAAGGAGGAAGTTAGAACACTGCTACATATACTACATAGAAAGCAATGTGGTTTTATTTCCCACTTGTACTTCCTTCTCCATTCTTGAACCACTGAAAAAATAGTAGTCAACATACAGAGTAAGTTATCTCTCTATTGGGCCAATTTCTACTCTTTCCAGTCCCTTCAGAAACCTGGTGACGTCTCATCAATAAATGCATGCTGTGATAAAAACATATGCTTCAGAAACCTGTTAGAGGCTAGCATGGCATAGGTTGTCACTAAAAGCTTACCAGTTGTTATTAGACTACTTGGCATTGCTTTTGTTAACCCTCCACCAGCAGGGACAATTTCTTTGGCTTGTAATTTATGCTAGTAGGGTCTTCCATGACAGGACCTTACCTTGATGTCCCCACCGCCAGGCTTCTCTCTGTTGAGCTCCACAGTCAGTTTGCCCTTCTCCTCCTCCTTCAGCACACTGCCCTCCAGACCCTTCTTAATGCCAACAGGCTCTGGAAAGTGGCATGAACATATGTAAAATGCATAACATTGGGAGATTAGGAGACCACACCAGTTGATATTCTATTGTACAAAATGTAAATAATGGCTTTTTCCAGGACTATACAACTTATACAACGATTGTATGTGAAAAAATGTTGAATTTTTCCAGGATCGCAGAAGTTTGATTGTAAGGTGGACAGGTATACACAGTTGATCTGTAGAATTGCACTCAGAAATACCATTTTTTTTATTCTTAACTGTTTGTACTTAAAAAAAATTCTATATGATTTTACCTAGAATGATTGCAGTAAAAATAACTCAAACTGTGCTTTCAAAAACCCTATTCAAACCTTTGTTTTATTCTCTACCAGACTATCTGATGGAAGGTTCAGCACCAAGGTCAGACCTGTTGTTACATGAAGATGTCATCAGGCAGAACCTCTTCGGTCTTGTAATTACGTCGTCCCTTCCTCATGTATTTTCTTCAGAATGTATAGAGTCTTGTGGTGACGTCTTACCGTTCATCAGGTGTTTTTTTACAGAACATATAGGGTCTTGTCTTACCTAACGTCTTACCGTTCATTGTGTGAATCTACAGAACTTATAGGGTCTTGTGATGACGCCTTACCGTTGACCTTGAGTTGACTGGTGGCCTCCTTGTCGCCGAACACGCACGTGATCTCTCCGTTGTCCTTGCCGTTACAGTTCTTGACGATCAGTTTGCGTTTGGTGCCGTCCGTCACAACTTGGTACTTTCCGCGTGGCCTGTCGGGCTACAAGAACACAATCTACGTTTTAAATCTTTGTATTTGTTTTATAACGTTTTAAATCGGGAAATAAAGAGAAGGAACAGCCTAGGCTATTTTAAGATAATGATGATGAATATCGGCAGAATTGTGCCTACTATTACTAGTACCTAGTTCTATCCCTGGGTGAGTTAGGGTTAGAATCAGGTACTGTTCTAGATAGTCTCCTCTTATCCAAGAACGTAGATATTTGCCTGGATACGCGTGGACTATATGCAGAACTATGCCTGAAAATAATGTGCGGTTCTGGATATTTACAAAAAATCTACAGTATACAAGTTACGTCGAAGACTTTGCCGATGAGATGTAAGTTAATCTAGCTTCATCTACATGTATTCGTATGAAGGCATAAAGACAGGGCTACACAACTAGCTGAATTCTAAAAAAAGTACGCCGTTCTTAAGTCGATGACTTTGCCGTTGAGGAGCCACTTGACACCATGTTTTATTTATCACAGGGATGAATGAATGACGACCTTTTATTCAATAAATATTGTAGTACAGTACACAGGTATACATTACAGTATACAGGTTATAAACAAAAGTACGCTGTTATCATGAAAGTTCATCTGTGTTGGTAGTAATCATAGTAAAACGTTAAACTTTATTCCAACACACTATTTACAGGGATCAAATTTTCAGCGACCACTGTCGCCTTCATCAGGATAATTAATGACCAATCACTTCAAAACGTGATCTCGCGAGAGTTACTCTTAA